GGGAGGGAGTGAGGGATGGAGGGAGGGGCTGGTTGTAACCCACCTGGATATGGCTGCTTCCTTCGCCCCCTCCCGCTGCTGCGTCCTTCGGCTCCTTCCCGCTGCCTCCTTCATGGTGCTGTTTGGAGCTACGCAGTATATGGCTGAAAAACGACCCGGGGGGCTGTTTCCTGCTCCAATGCACAAGAGTAGACGACGATGACTGCGTGGTGTGGGCCGCCGTGGGTCACTGAGGTCGACTGTCGGGGTGTGTGGGCAGGTCCGAGTAGTTCAAAATGAACTACTTTGATCTCCTGGCTTTTTTTTTTTTGCAGGGCCTCCCGCGCCCCCAATTTTTTTTATCTTTTTTTGGGTACCAGGCGGCACGAAGCGCCTAGCGGGCCTACAACCCCCCCCCCCCAAAAAAAACCTTTTTTTTTTTGGTGGACCCTGTAATTTTGGCATGTGCCGCATGCCGCGCGCACACATCATGCGCGCTGCACGGTGCGGCGCATGTCGATGCGCGGCATCTACGCAATAAACAATACGAGGACTTTCAGGAATTAGTTCATAGCTGCTGTTTTTTCGGATTTGTTAGGGTTAGGAATTCCTGATTTAGACCTGTTACAATTTTTTAGAATTTTCGGGTTTCTCTTTTTTCTTTTCAGGTTCCTTTTTCCTCTTTTCGACTTTGACTCGTCAATTTTTGGTTCCTTTTTCACAGGGGACGGGCTCCGCTTGCTGGATGCAGCGGGCGACCTCGTCACGTCAGGGGGTGACATATTGGCTTCTTCTTTCTCTCTTGATGGTTTGTTTTCGGCGATTTTTTTCTTCGAGAAGACTGGGGCTTTTGCATAGTGCCCTTAATTAGGGACGCTCATGACATGTTTTCGCTGTTTTTCGACGATTTGTAAGGGTTTTTTTTCGGGTGCTTGTTCCCTTTGTAGATCATTGGGACTTGATTGTGATTCTCGTTCACAGAGGACAGGCTCCACTTGCTGGATGCACTTGGAGGCCTCGTGGCCCCTGAAGCTGAAACTTTATCTTATAGCTGTTTTCGCCTTGGCCACCAGGACCTAAGAATAAAGGGAACCTTTTTGCTAAATTAAAAAAAAAGTTTGTGCGGCAGTAGAGCGACCTAATCTCCCCCTGCAATAACTTGTGATCCCACGGTCACTGATTTACACGCATTTTTACCTGAAAAATGAAAGATATCTTAGTTCCCCTCGTCCTCTCCTTAACACTGGGCATGCCGATGTAAAGGAAGCTTCCCGCCAGAACTTGCTCTATCCAAATGGGGGTACACCCAACCCCAACAAGTGGCGGGGTTGCACATATACCCCCATGCAATAGAAGATTTTGAGTAATTTTCCCATTTTCGTCCAATAATCTCATTGGTTGAAGCACTCCTCAAATCATGTAGCGTACGGAGGGCGTCATGATCACGCCTAACAAAGAGCCTCATTCTCGTTCAGAAAGGTGGCAGTTACTCTTATCACTGTTGCAGGGATGACTGCCATCAGATCATCATTTGTGATCTGATGGCTGGGAAAAACAGCTCCGTGATTTCAGGGTTTGAGGCATAGTTGCGGCGCACCTCGGTGCGCGGATTTGCACACCGCGCGCACCGCACCGCACAGCGCACCACACTGGAAAAACCAGGTCCAAAAAAAAAAAAAAAAAAAAAGGTTGGGGTTTTGTAATTTCTTAGAGCCCCCAACTCGGCAAAAATGTTAAACTCACCGCACGAGTTCAGAAACCAGCCGCCCCCCGGCCCGAAATACTTTTTTGGGCAAGGGCTGCCGAATTTCTATTTCTGCAGGCCCTTCCCCCAAAAGTTTCAAAATGGCTAATCATGAAAATATAGGGCTCATTCCAAACTTTTTTTTAGGCCGGGTGTGAAAACTGGCCTTCCCCCTCCCTTCTGCAAATCCCACACAGTGGTGGGAAAAATTCGCAAGAAGGGGGTAGTTGCCCAATACCAACCTGCCCCGCAAAGATTCGCAGAAGTCACAAGATGTGTTTTGAACGGCGAGCCGCCCACCAATATATGCTGAAGATTGGACCACCAATATATGCTGAAGATTGGACCACCAATATATGCTGAAGATTGGCATTCAGGTCCGCATGTCCGCAGTTATGGGTTAGGAACTTAGGATGAAGATGCCTGTAGCTCTCTCGTTTTTTTTTTTGTTTTTGTTTTCTTATGAATAGGTACGGTGGGGCCTGCTCCACTACTCACCACATACACAAAAGACATAGCATATGGAGGTGTATGGTTCCACATTTTAACAGAAGATTCATTCTACTAATGTTATATACTTTTTTTTTTTAATTTATAATTTTAAATACATTTGGTGGGTGGTGGAGGGAGGCCCTGAGAATCACGTGGAGACACGAACAGGGTCTAGCTGAATTGGTGACCCATAACTGCCGAGCTACAGCCCTGAACTCGAACCCACAGCATATATTGATTGGTTCTCTGCTCCCATCTCTTCCACATATGTTGTGGCCATCCTTCTCGTTGAAGCAGCGGTCCTCAACGACTCCACATATATTGTAGGAGCCATTCGAGGTACCTGCAGGGGCCCTCGAATTGACGTGAAGGGGACCCTTTCGTCTCTCTCTGTCTCTCTCTCTCTGAGGGACACTTTTTTTTTTCCCCTTCCACGCACAGGGTGCACCTCCCTCTGAGCATG